TTTTAAAAAATCAGTTTTGCTTTTTTATTTTTTTTATTTTGTTTTTCTCTTTTCTCCCATATTCTCTTTTCTAATCATACTTACAAAAACTTCTCAAAAATTACAAAATATCTCCACTATTATGGATGCTCTTATCTCTTATCTCGTCCATAAGTTTTCTCCACCTGACTACCTAAGTAGAGAAAAACAAAAAAATGATGTGAAAGGAGAGAGAATTGATATGAGATGTCGACTATCGGGACACTCTTCATCTTGCACCATTATTGACTAACTGTCATTTTGCTAATACTCGTGGGACTAAAATTGGTATTTGCTCTTATTTAAAAAAAAAAAAAAAAAAAAAAAAAAAAACGTGCATCCCAATAGGTGTAAGTGACAATATTTCACATTAATAGCCACTATCTCATTCAATCTAAAAAATATAATCATTTTTTTTCAAAATAGTTTGATATTTTTCATTTTTTTTGTGGCCTCATTAATCTACAAAAATTATATTTTAATTATTTTTTTATTTATTATCATTTTTAAATTGTAGTTGTAATTAATTTGGAATAATGATACACACCTTTCTTAAAATTTTCCTCCTTATTCTCCCTTCTGACATAGCATTACTTAATTAGATACTTTACTGTTTAAGTAAAAGTATGTGCAGTCATCGGTCGGCCAATTCATGACACCAAATAATTATAAGTCATGGGGAAATATTTGGAAAAAATTTGGAAGAGAAAATAGTATTTTTCCTTAAAATTATTACTCGTATTATTTATATATGATGATGATTAAATTAAACTGATGATTTTATAGGATTGCAGTCATAATAAATCGAGGAGAAATATAACTTGTAGGGTAAAAATAATAATAATATTTTAATTAAGGCCGGGACGCTAGTCCCCATTGTATTCAAAACTTGGCTAAGAAATAAATAAACAAAGCACAATCAAAGACCCAAAAACTAGCATTTACATACCCCCCCCCCCCCCCCCCCCCCCTACTTGACTTCCAATAATCCAAAGGACAATAAATCTGTAGATTTCAAACACATGGAGTAGAGATCACTAGCCTTCGAGTCTGGATAAGGATGTTGATTGATGTTAGAAGAGGGGTAAAGACACCCTTTTCAATGGTGTCTCCCTACAAAATGAGTGGTTTTCATACTTTGATCAAATATGTCCACTTACTTATCATCAGTATAAATTTTCATGTGTCACGATTCATCATCTTTGTTCCGATTTGAACAATAGACAAGATGGACTAGCTACTTGTCACCCTAGCAATAGTTAATCTTGCAAGTTCAAGGGTCTAGCTAGCCCTAGCGCAAGATCAAAACGCACTTGCTAAGTTACGTTGTTGGGTGCAGGTGTGCAATCAAGTGCAAGTTTTTAAATTCCTCCTAAAAATTCAGTATTGCAGGAGAAAGTTTTCTCCAAAAATCCAACCCTCAATAGTCAAGAACCCAATATGAATATTTTTTTTTAATAAAAAAAAGTATTTAAATAAAAACACTCCTAGGGATGTACTTAGGCCACCTCCACCGAAGGCGGCAAAGCGCCATTTAGGTGCAAGATACGTTGTTTTCTTCCTATAACAAAGACAGAAAATACACCAAAAAATTTTGCGTTGATGAACAGCGCAGTGCTCATCAACACCATTTTTTGCGTTAATTTTTTTCCTTATTTTGCACCTGCTTTTCTTTGTTAATTTTTTTTTCTATTGAATATTATTGTCTCTGTTACAATATTTGTTCATAACTACTTTCTTTGTTAATTTCTTTTGTATCCTTATATATATATATATATATATATATATATATATATATATATATATATATATATATATATATATATATATATATATTGCTAAATTCTTAAACATATATTTTATATTATTAAAAATAAATTATATCGTTTAAAAGATCTCATCAAGATTAAAACAAGACTAATATTGAATATAGATTAATTAAAAATTAAATTTCATAAAATATAATTTCAACAAAATTAAAATGAGTACATCCGGAATTAATTAAAATATGAAGTATTAGAATGAAGTTTTAATTTATGTGTTTACAAATTATTTAGTTGGGAATAAAATTTGGTGTAAGAATCTACTGAGAATATCTTATTTTTTTGTAAGTCATTTTACATGTAATCAGTTATTAGCTAACAGCTCATTTACCAAAATATTTTTCTACAATAACTAATGTTAACAACTAGTCAACCTCACTAACCCAATCAACTAACAACTATTTACCAAAAATCCCCTTAGTATTTACACAACATGCTGCATGCTTTCTAAGGGCATCCTCAATAGTGTAAAGATTTTGATAGGGTCTTACATGTGTGATTAGGAAAGAGAAAATGGGGGAGAATGAAAAAAAAAAAAAAAAAAAAAAAAAAAAAAAAAAAAAAAATCAAAGCTTAACGCGCCTATTGGGTGCGTTGTTTCTGCGCACCAGATACGCAAACGAAAAAAGGGATGAGACCCACATTTCCGACAAAATCTCCATTTTACTGCAAGCAACTCGTTTTTTCTCACTTCATCCTCTCTCATCCACCTCACTCAACATTCCTCAAAATCTAGTCCAAGATCCCTTAATGGGGATCCTCTCTCATCCACCTCACTCAACATTCCTCAAAATCTAATCCAAGATCCTCTAATGGGATGCTCTAATAGAAAGTTGTTTTTGTAGATTCTTCTTTTCGGTTTTAGGTAAAAATTCTGGATTAATACAAATATTTCTATATTTCTGCAACACCTCCAACTTGGAAGAAATTAAAAAACATTTGATTTCACACCATGCATTTTACTGGGGTAGAAAAAGGCATCTAGCAGAAAGCTATATTCGTACTCTGTATTTTAGACACACTAGAATTTCTTATCTTTTCTCGTATTATTAAAAATACATCATTTATCATTCCTATTTTTGGACTCTATTCTTATAAATACATATCTTTCAGTATTTTAAATATAATGAATTGATCAATAATAAGATCATTTTCAAAATTATTGTTTTCAGCAGTTAGGCACAACTGGTTCTGTAATTTTTATTTTTATTTTTATATTGATGATGCAGAGCAGAAAATTATTTTTATTTTTATATTGATGATGCAGAGCAGAAAATTTTAATGATGGGAATTAATCATCAAAAGTAGGAACTAAGGGAACACCTCAATGAGGGATGTCAAGCCAAATATTGTAGCGACTGAACCCAGACTCAATGAACAGCCTTAATGTATAAGGCTTTCAATTTCAAGGCTTCCTTGCATACACAGAGCAATCAGAATATGATTTCCTGAAGTGTGTGCTTTCTAGCACATATATAAATATATTCATAGCATAGGATCATTGGGTACATGTAATCATTTGAATTTAAATTTTACATTATGCCCCTTGGAATTGGCTCTTCTATATAGACCTCGACCACTGGTTTGAACCTTGGGTGTTGAAGGAGATGAACTGCCAGCTTCAGAATTTGGAGATGATGGACATTTTAAGATCCCTTTCAATGGTTTTCTGCATATTGCCTCTTTAACTCTGTTCCAGGCATCATTGCTTCCATCAGAATGAGAAGAATCATCACTGGATACCTTACATCTAACACGAGTTAGGTCATTATTATGAACAAAACTGCCTTTCTTGTTCTTGCTCATGAAATAATGGCTGTCAAGGAGGAACATATGATCAGTTTGAGTTGTGTGGAACCTGAGATTGTTGTTACCTCTCTCCGGTGAATACTTCTCTTCTTTTCTTGATGCCTTTGGCATTTTGAACCATCCTTCAGTTAAGGAAGGCAGTGATGAAAGGTTCTTCAGAAATGAACTTTTCTTGGAAGGGGATGAGCATGAACATGAGCATTCATCTGCATTAACATTCTCTCCTCCTGTGCTGAACAATGCCATGGCAATCACACTGGTAATGAACACTTGGCAGACTGCAGATTTGATCTCCTCATGCCTCTCGAAATACGAAACCTCGGTAAGGCCAAACATCATCTTGATCCCAAGGATTTTGTAAGCCAGCATCCCCAGATCTGCTTTTATGTAGTTTGGGTTGTCAAGAATCTTGGCTGCCAGGTAACCAATATCAGTTTTCTCCTTCACCAACCCCAATTCATCAAACGGCAACAAATCAGATTTCTCAGGAATGCCAAAACCAACAAACTGAATTCTTTTATCAGTTAAAAACCTCTGGATTGGCTCAGGAATTGCTGCCCCTGAATGAAACCGGAGGATCACACATCCCAATCCAAAACACAAGATCACCAAAATAATGGCGGGATCACGAGGATGGCGCATGATGTCAATGCCAACAATGGGAGGCCGAACCCAAACTTTGCCTTCTGGAAACAAGAAATCCTCTATGCACAAACGCTCAAAATCATTAGCCTTGAAGGTAATGCCTTCAAGCTTAACATCAAAATGATTGGTCTTCAAATATACAACACCAGCCATATGATTGATTATATTCTCCTGTAAAACAGCAAATATGATATAATATTGTCGGATATGGATGATGGGGGTGGAGTATTTACTCAAGGATAGGAAGAATTAAAGCTATATTTTTAGAAAGATAGCTGGATAAAGATAGCTATTTATATCAGATAAGATTTTCCCCAGAGTGGTGGGAGATTAGCCACACGAAAACTGGAAAAGGGAAGCTATTGTTATTCATAAGCAATCAAAACAACCAGAGAAGAACATGGGAAAATCACAGGAATTAGTGGTTCTGCAACACCACAATTAAAATAAAAATTTAAAAACAATTATAATTTACAGGTATTTTAAGTCCACAAACATATAATATAAGGTTGCCAAGACAATAATTATCCAATTATTTTTAGTGTGGACTATGTTAACGTTTTGAGTGACAAAGAAAAATTCACAACCATAATCTAAAAGAATACACTAAATAAATCTCATCTCGTAACCTTAATCAACAGAGAATTCACAACATAAATTGCAGATAATTTAGTAATTCCACAATATTAAAAAAAAAAAAAAATGTAGTGGATCAATAGATTCCATTAGCATGCTAATATATTGGTGGGTAACAAAAGCAGTAGCCATATTTCATTTCATTACACTAATACATGTTAATATTTGAGGGCAATTGCATTGCAGAATATAAACCAATTCAAAACCCTAGCAATAGCCACATATACAAACTAGAGGCTAGCCTCACCTAAGCCCTCTCGCCCCTAATTCTCCTAGCAAGCTGAATGTCCTTGGGCATGATAGTCACCCTCTTCGCGTGAATAGCACACAGATTGGTGTCCTCAAACAGCCCGACAAGGTAAGCCTCGGCAGCCTCCTGAAGCGCAGCCACGGCGGAGCTCTGGAAGCGGAGATCGGTCTTGAAGTCCTGGGCGATCTCACGAACCAGGCGCTGGAATGGGAGCTTGCGGATGAGTAGCTCAGTGGACTTCTGGTACTTTCGGATCTCACGGAGAGCCACCGTCCCAGGCCTGAAGCGGTGAGGCTTCTTTACTCCGCCGGTGGCCGGAGCCGACTTCCTGGCCGCCTTGGTAGCTAGTTGCTTCCTCGGAGCCTTCCCGCCGGTGGACTTGCGAGCTGTCTGCTTGGTACGAGCCATTAGGGTTTTGATTGGAGATGGAGACGAGTTTGATTAATTGGGAATTTGGATGCCTTAGCAGTGTGGAGTTTTGGAGAACTGGAGGTGATTTAAATAGGCGTTCGGAAATTTTAAGCGGGAAGACGGAGAGATCTAAACCGTTGATTGGCAGAAAAGTAAAGAACGAACTAGATCTAATCTGTAGCGGATCGATGACGTGGAGAAGCGACAGAGGTACGATTATCCTTCCAAATAGGAAAACTATACATTGATATTTTGTTTTCCAAAGGATTTGGTTGGATGAAAGTCAAATTTCATGGAAAATGTTTTTCTAAAAGTGTAGGAAAATGTTATTTTATGTTGTTTGGTTGGATGAAAAAATTTTTCCATTGAAATTTAAGTTCCTGAAGTTGAAGGAAAATAAAATCCTAACAATACATTGATATTTTGTTTTCCAAAGGATTTGGAAAGAAAGTATAACAATATTGGATTATTTTACCCTCATCAAAGTTTAATAATTACACATGTATATATTATTGTTAAAGACAGATTGGTCTTTATATTCATAATTCATTAACATTCCAAACAATAGAATTCATATTCCCAGTAATTTCTTTTCCACCAACCAAACAATGAAATTTATTTTCCTGGTAATTTGTTTTTCATGGAATTTGAATTCCATTTCCCATCAAATATTTTCCAGTGAACCAAACAGGTTATAATAGTATACTCGGGAAAAAAAAATAGTATACTCTAGATTCTAGAAATATTGTTATCGTCCAAAAATATTTACGGAGAACAAAAGCAAAACCAAAAACAAAAAAAAAAACAAAAAAAACAAAAAAAAAAAACAAAAAAACAAAAAAAAAACAAAACCAAAACAAAAAAAAAAAAAAAAACAAAAACAAAAACAAACAAACAAACAAAAAGTATTATGATACGATTATAATTTTTTTTTCTCAAATTCTCTTGAGTTATAAAATTTTTTTTGAAATTTTTTCAAATTACCCCTTATACTGATATAATAGTCCTAAATAAAGTTCATCACAAATTTTTAAAAATTTAATCAGTAGTTAAAATATTTTTTCCTACTTTTAACAAAATTAGCCCTTATACATTTTTTCTCAAATTCTTTTGTGTTATGAATTCCTTTTTTTTTTTTGAAATAGTATTATGATATGATTGTTTTTTTTTTCTCAAATTCGATGGGTTATAAATTTTTTTTTTAGAATTTTTTTCAAATTACCCCTTATATTAATAATAGTCCTGAATAAAGTTCATCACAATTTTTTTTTTAAATTTAATTAGTAGTCAAAATATTTTTTTTCTACTTTTGACAAAATTAGTCCTTATATTTTTTTTTTCTCAAATTCTATGGGTTATGAATGTTTTTTCTGTAATTTTTTCTAAATTACCCATTATACTGATAATAGTCGTGAATAATTTTTTAAAAGCTTATTCAGAGGTCAAAATATTTTTTTTCTATTTTGACCAAATTACCCCTTATATTTTTTTTTCCCCAAATGCTTTGGGTTAAAAGATATTTGTTTCTTAAATTTTTTCATAATTACATCTTATACTAATAATAGTCATGAATAAAGTTCATTACAATTTTTTTAAAAACTTATTCCGTGGTCAAAATATTTTTTCTATTTTTGACAAAATTACCCCTTATATTTTTTTTCCTCAACTTCTTTGGGTTATACATTTTTTCCTGAATTTTTTTCTAAAATTACCCCTTATACTAATAATACTCGTGAATAAAATTCATTACAAATTTTATTAAAAAATTTCAGAGGTCAAAATATTCTTTTTCTACTTTTGGCCAAATTACCCCATATATATTTTTTTTTCTCAAATTCTTTGGGTTACAAAATATTTTTTTCTTAAATTTTTTCAAAATTACCCCTTATACTGATAATAGTCGTCAATAAAGTTCATTACAAATTTTTTGAAAACTTATTCAGATGTCAAAATATTTGTTCTACTTTTGACCAAATTACCCTCATACTTTTTTTCCCAAATTCTTTGGGTTAAAAAATATTTTTTTCTTAAATTTTTAAAATATTACCCCTTATACTGTTAATAATAGTCGTGTTTTTCTAAATATAGAAAATAATTTTATATACAAAATTGACCATCTTTAAAAATTTTAAAAATAATTTTATAAAGTCTACACAATCTTTCTAAATATAGAAAATATTTTCATACACTAAATTCACCAACTTACAAATTTTTTAAAATAATTTTATAAACTATAGACAACCCTTTTAAATGTGGAAAATAATTTCATATACAAAATTGTCCCTCTGAAATATTTTTAAAAATTATTTTATAAACTCTAGACAACCTTTCAAAATATGAAAAATACTTTTCATATACTAAATTGTCCCTCTGGAAATTTTTTAAAAATAATTTTATAAAGTCTACACAACTGATAGATACCCCAAAATAGTCGCCCGGACGGGAAGGCTTGACAAGGCAGCCGGGTCACGGCGTGGCTAGATACTTAGCAAGTGGAGGATCTCCAGGGCCCCTCCCACCCAGGTAAGGCGTCTTACGACGGCAATTGTTCATCCTCCGGTGACTAGTCTCAGCAGTCGGTGCGTCCTCGGGTGGGCTCCCGGGCGAGACTATGTTGAGCGACTAGCCTCGGTGGTCGGTGTGTCTCCGGCTGAATACCCTGCGAGATTCAGACGGACGACCAGGCTACGCGGGCGGTGTGTCCCCGACCGTGCGCTGCTCCAGAACCCGACCGGGCGATCAGACTTTGCAGGCGGAGTGTTCTTGCCCGGATGCGGGGCATTCCCGACCGGGTGCGTATCTAGAGATGGATATCAGCGGATTCTGCGGAGGCTATCTTTATTTAAGTAACTTCCTTAATTAGTCTAGAGGGTTTATGGTAGTAAGTAGGCAATTGCGTCAGCCCTATCCCACCTTTAGACTTGGTTTTACGTCAACCCTACTTACCTTGTACGAACCTCATACTCATGTATAAATATCCCAACTGGATCACCGTGTATCAGATCGACACTTTTGAGGGCAAAACCCTAGATAAATAATATAACATTATTCTCTCTCTCTCTCTCTCTCTCTCTCTCTCTCTCTCTCTCTCTCTCTCTCTAATACTTTATCTCTCGTTTTCATTATCTCGCAAGCACATATTTTCGGTGGTATTGGCGTGCCGAGCGGCCATCGAGGCTGTGAAAACCAATAACAACCTTTCTAAATATAAAAAATAATTCCATATAATAAATTGACACTCTGAAAAAATTTAAAAAATAATTCTATAAACTCTCGATAATATTTCTAAATAAGGAAAATAATTTCATATACCATCTAAAAAAATTTTAAAAATAATTTTATAAACACTAGAGAACCATTCAAAATGTGTAAAATAATTTCATATACTAAAATGACCATCTGAAAGAAAAAAATTTTAAACTAATTTTATAAACTCTAGACAACCTTTCTAAATATTGAATATAATTTCATATACTAAATTAACTATCCGAAAAAATTTTAAAAACAATTTTATAAATTCTACACAACCTTTCGTCGATTACTACGCCCTTCCTCGTCTCTGGGTGCCTAGGTATCCACCGTAAGCCTTTCCTCGTTTGAACCTCGCCCTTCACTTTTAAGGCTATGCCATCCTAAGGTGCTGCTAAATGGATGGATCTTATCAACGTCCATGAATGAGAAATCATAGATCGAACCGCCGAATCGGAAAAATTGGGTCCTATCATAAAGCTTTGGATCGGCTAAGTTCAGGAGTTGGAGATAAGCGGACTCGAACCGCTGACATCCGCCGCAGGGTAAACCACCGCCTCTCAGGTCCCCCGACTGATTCTACCATAGAGGCCAACGATAGACAATAATTCCCCCCCGAACACAGCTTACAACTTTCATCGTACTGTGCTCTCCAAAGAGCAACTCTTCTCAAAATCTCACTCAAAAGGTGCTGAGTTGAAATCCCACTCTAACTAAGGATTCTTGTGGTTCCGGAGGATCCAACTACAGGAGAACCAGGAACGGAGAGCTTTCCCCCCCTTCCGCCCGACTCTTTGGTCTTAAGAACGCTGGTTTTAAGAATGAGTGATTGCCCTTCTCCGACCCTTACTGCCCAACCTGAGAGCGGACAGCTAATGCGTTCCACTTATTGTAGATTGACACACTTAAAAAATTTTAAAATTAATTTTATATACTCTATACAACCATTCTAAATATGGAAAATAATTTTATATACTAAATTGACCCTCCAAAAAATGTTTAAAACAATTTTATAAACTCTGCACAACCTTTCTAAATATAGAAAATACTATCATATACTAAATTGACCCTCTAAAAAATTTTTTAAAATAATTTTATAAACTCTAGACAACCTTTTTAATTATGGAGAATAATTTAATATACTAAATTGACACTAAAATTTTTTAAAAACAATTTTACAAACTCTAGACAACCTTTCTAAATATGTAAATACTTTCATATACTAAATTTACCTTTTGAAATATTTTTAAAAATTATTTTATAAACTCTAGACAACCTATCAAAAGATGGAAAATACTTTCATATACTAAACTGACCCTCTGAAAATTTATTTAAAATAATTCTAAAAAATTTACACAACATTTCTAAATATAGAAAATAATTACATATACTAAATTTACCCTCTAAAAATAATTTCATATACTAAATTGACCCATCTGAGAAACTAATTTTATAAACTCTAGACAACCTTTCTAAATATGAACAATAATTTCATATACATAATTGACCCTCTGAAAATTTTTAAAAAACAAATTTATAAACTCTACACAACCTTTCTAAATATAGAAAATAATTTTATATATAAAATTGACCATTTTTAAAATTTTAAAAAATAATTTTATAATGACTACACAACCTTTCTAAATATAGAAAATAACTTCATATACTAAATTGATCCACTTAAAAAATTTTAAAAATAATTTTATAAACTATAGACAACCCTTTTAAATATGGAAAATAATTTCATATACTAAATTCACACTCTGAAAAAACTTTAAAAATAATTTTACAAACTCAAGACAACATTTTT